CAAGTCCAAGTCTAAGAAACCAACCCGCCCTCTTTTTTGGGAAGGGAGAGATTCTTCCACGAACTCCAGTGATACCGGGACCCACCTGACTGCCTCCAAAAGAAACTGGCAAAACAACGCTCAAGGTCCCGGATCACCTGCTTAGGCGGGGCGCAGGCGGCGAACAGATGTAGGGGTATCGCCTGTAGAACTGAAGTAATCAAAATGGCCTTCCCGCCCTTCGACAAGACACGGCGTTCCCAGCTCAAACACTTGGCCTTCACCTTGTCAACTGTAGGGCTAAAGTAGATGCACTTCTTTCGTCCCACGTACACAGGGCAACCAAGATATGTAAAGGGGAATGAGCGGTGGATACAACGAGTTGCCCGGCGTACTCTCTGAAGCACTCTATCCGGAGTACGAGGATGCATGTAGAAAGCACTCTTCTGTAAACTGACCAGCTGTCCTGAGATAGTCTCATACTCCTTGAGGGCCGAGATGACAGTCTTAATGGCACCCTGTCTGGCTGTACTGAATATAATAATATCATCTGCATATGCCAAGTGGTGGATGTGCGGGGTGCGGGGTGGCTGAGTGAAACGGGGGACTGCAGGATCCTCGTAGACACGGGCCAAGTAAACTGAAAGAACCTCAGCCGCGATGACGAACAAACTAGGCGACAAAGGATCTCCCTGCCGCAGTCCCCGGGACGAAGTAAAGAAGCCCTCTTTGACGCCATTGACAATCACCGAGTACCAAACATTAGACACTGCCCGGAACACCAAGTCAATCCATGTCTCTGAAAAACCGAGGCGGCGCATCACCGAGGTCAAGAAAATCCAAGAAACGCGATCGTATGCTTTAGCCATGTCTAACTTAAGCACAACGTCACGCTTCTGTACCTGCAGTCCGTGACACATCTCTGAAGCAAGTAGGATGTTGTCAGTAATCGATCTCTCGGCCACAAAACCACTCTGGTGTGGTGACAGAAGGCGGGGAAGAACCGTGGCCAATCTAACCACCATCAGCTTGGTGACTATTTTGCTGCTGAAATTACACAAGCTGATCGGTCTGTAGTCTGCACAAGTCTCTGGATTCGGCTTCTTCGGAAGCAGGACGATGGATGTGTGCGTGATAGCCCTAGTGAAATCTCTGCCCAAGAAGTAACTCTGTACCATCAGAACCACATCAGCACGGATAATATCCCAGCAAGCCTTGTAGAAGGCCCCCGAGAAACCATATAGACCAGCAGCACTGACTGAACTCATCTGAAACACGGCGGTTTTGATTTCCTCCTCTTCCGGTACCACAGTCAGCAAATCATTGTCGCCCTCAGTGACCAACTGCGGAACACAATCAAGCAAAGCAGTATCAAAGCCCCCAATCTCGGCAGTAAACATGTGCTCAAAGAAAGATACTGCCTGTGCAGCAATACCCTCCCTATCCTCAATCCACTGTCCTGTATCATCTCTAACTCTGTGTATGAAGAGTTTCCGCCTGCGCTCTTTTACAAGAGAGTGAAAATAATGAGAGTTCCTCTCACCCTCCTGTACCTCGGTGATGCGCGCCTTCTGTTGCCAAAACTCTTCCTCAATCATGACTTCCTCACTCATGAATGCACCTTAAGCATTAAATTGGCGCACTTTAAGTACACAACTCACTCACATTAAGGACAAAATTAAACTCACGGACCTAAGGTTTTAAAAATAGTTCACTTTAAGTTTCACACAACTGACGCACATTAAGCATACAAATCACGCACCTTAATGAGGAAAACAACGCACATTAAGAAGGAAATCCACGCACCTTAAGTTTCAACTACTCACATTAAGCACAAACACATGCACCTTAAGCACAAAACTCATGCATCTTAAGTAAAAAACTCACGCACATTTAGAACAAAACCCACGCACCTTAAGCACAAAACTCACGCACATTAAGTTTCAACAACTGCTTACATTAAGTACACAACCCACTCACCTCTTAAGCACAAAACTCATGCACCTTAAGCATAAGACTCACGCATTTTAAGTACAAAACTCACGCACAATAATCATCGCACAACCGCACGGGAACTTAATTGAGTGTAGGTGCGGTCGCACCTTCCTGTTCGGTCAATGCGGTCGCACCAATAGTTATGCAAATATACACCATCAACGTTAGGAAATGAACAACAAAAAAACGCAAAAATTGGGTACGCATCACCAAAAACACACTATTGGGTATGAACAAAAGCACCACACAGTGTTCGGAAATACACCATTAGGGGTGGAGAGTTATATGATGTAATTTTTTGGGTGTGTGTGTATTTTTTGGTGTAGTTTTACGTTTAATTGTTGTGTATTTTTCTACACTATTGGTGCCTTTTTTGTAACATTATTAGTGTATTCTTCAAACGGCCGCACGGGAGGGCGCGACCGCATTTGAACAAACTTTTATATATATATATATATATATATATATATATATATATATATATATATATATATATATATATACTAATAAAAGGCCAAGAGAGTTAGGCCTATAATGAGTAGAAAAAATGACGGTCAAATTTTTTAATCAAATGAATGACTCAGATTGATCATATTTTAATTTTTTCTTAAGATTTCCTAATTTATCCTTAATGAATATGATTTTTCGTTAACTTTTCCGTTAAATATTATCTTTTCCGTTAATTTCTGTTAGTTCACCGTTAACTTACTCATTGAATTCAATAAGAAAGGTCTTAGGTTTGAACCTCATCCCAATCAAAGTTGACATAATTAGTACTCTATTTTACTCTTATTAAATTAAATAATAATTTAGTAGCTACAATAAAAAATAATACATATGCATTTCTTTAATTTAGAATTATGTGTCTACAATGTCTTTATTCAAAAAAATTATTCATTATCAATAAATTAAATAAGAAAAATAATTCTATTAGTTATATTGTATTTATTTTTCTCCAATATAAAAATTATTTACATTCAAATTCATCAATTGATTATATTCGCTACATTGTCCCTACAATGTCTTTATTAAAAAAAAATTATTCATTATCAATAAATTAGTTAAGAGAAATAATTTTATTAGTTATATTGTCTTTATATTTCTCCAATGTACAAATTCATCAATTGATTATATTCACTACATTGTCTATTATCTTTTTTTTGTGCACTATTTTTTAATTAAATATCAAAGTTATAATACAAAATAGTGTTATACATTTATTTACCAAGTATTTTATTAATACGATGAAAAAATTAATAATAATAATAATAATAATAATAATAATAATAATAATAATAATAATTGTTTTAAAAATAAAGAAATAAAAAAAATATAATTAAACCAATCATATTAACTACTTTGGAGATTTATTGACAAAAAGAGTATTCAAATCACACAACAAATTGAAGTGGAAACTATCTCGCAATGTCCTTGTTTGACAATCAGGAGTTAGCTCTTCAATATTAGTATATATTTAATATTTTATGCACTAATTTTTATTTTCTCTCCTTATGTCCCGTATTTGGTTTCAACCATACCTATAGAATTATTTCATTGACAATTATAATCAATCTTGACTATATTATCTTGCATTTGTAAACATAGAATTGCATATTTAAATACACAAATTTAATATTCAATTATGCATGAACAATTCCAATGAGTGTAGAGATGACAATGAGTCAGGAGTAATTCAAGGGTGATTACTTCTATCACTGGATCCATCTTAAACTTTCTTCACTCACCCCATCCTTGACCGCAACAAATGAACTTTTTAAAAATCATCCCCGTCTCACCAAATACGGGTAACTACGGTTTATTATCTTATTAAAAACTTCAAAAATTAATTATAATATTTAAATTATTTAAACATAATAAAATTCAATAATTATATTAAAACATATATGAGATATTACACTCTCCGTTATAAGTAAGAAACATTTTATTCATCATTAGTATTGTATTTTTCAGTATAAGTATTACATTTTCATCGTGATCCAACTCATCTTAAGGATAAGGACCCGTAAGACTTTCTTGCACAATAGTTATACTCATAATAAATATATGGAATCAGCGCCACCTATTTCCATCTATAATGAAGTGTAATAGTGTATAATTTAAAGGGAATGAAAGAACTTATATATTATTTTTTTTTTACACTTACAAAACTTGATAAATTTTGTACTTTTAAAAAAAAAAAATTTACAAGGGTAATGTTAAAAAAACAGTATTTGTTACATTTATTTTACGATTTAATCTTTTTAAAAAAATAAACATTACGGAGTATTTATTTGGATAACTACACATTTTCTTGACTAGTTAATTAAAACCACACATCAAAATTAATGTGAAAAGACTTATGTCATTTCATCGATATCTTATGAGTTGATTTTTTATTTTATTTTTTTAAAGTAGGGAATAGGGACTAGAGATACCTGATAATTAAAAATAGTAAAAGGAGAAAAAAATAGAGAAGAGTAAACTGGCTAGATTCTGTGAATATATGCTAGGAGCCAGAAGATATTGTACATGTATCATGTATGAAAAATTAATACCATACTTGGCTACATTTATTATATATTTCATCAAATTTTACATATTTTGTTTATTGTTCACAGAGGCTAGACTTTTACTTACTGTGCACATAGAGTTCTATTATTTTGAGAGGTTCCTCTTACATTATTGTCGTTGGTAAGACTCAATTCCAGATCATTGTTCTCAAATTTTACCTCTGTGATCAACTGAATCGTCCATGAGGACATATTTTGTTTATTCTTCATCTATCAAACAAATTCTTTTTAAGTATTATTTTATTATTTTCAAATTTAATTCTATGTGTTTAACATTACTTCTAATATAGCTGCTTAATATATAATTTTTTAAATTAATACGGAGTACTAAATTTGATATTATGAAAAAATTAATTATAAATAATTTTAATCAAGCTTAATGAATCAAATCAAATATAATGAATGGAGTATTGTCTACATCTACAATTTTAATAAGAGCCAATAATATTAGGTCCT